AAATGATGCTTGCCATGCATGCTTGTAGTGTAATATGCTTCACTAGCTTTTGATGCTTGAGCCTTTCAACATGCCTTACATGAGTTGTTTTGCATGATTCTAAGTCATCTTGCATGCCATTTCAATGCTGGAACATAGGCCATTGTAATCCATGTATCATCCTTTCGATGCTTATGGAAAGTTGTGTTTTGTGCCTTAGACTTGGGCCATTGCATTATGCATGTTTGTGTGTGTTTTGGTACCTTGATTTCATCATCAATGGCCGCTGATTTGGACATGGAAGTTTTGTTTTCTCTTCCCGGAGGGAGGGAGAGGTCTTGTAGACCATCTCTCAGTGGTCATAGGCTACTTTTCGTGGTCGTAGGCTACTGTTCCCATTTAGAGACTAGTTTCCGATTTTCGAAGCCGTCGGCCAGGCGCCTCGGCTCGGGACCGCTTAACATTCTCCGTTTGGCACGGTTTTTGGAACACACCTTGTTTCCTCTGTCTAGAGGGACACTGTGGTCCGGGAGACCACTTTTGATGCTCGGCATCTAGTTTTCGGGGCTCTTGGCCGCGCGTCTTACCTCCCGAACCCTCGTCTTGCATCTGTTTTGGTTTGTCTTGGGTACAAACCTTACTTTCCATGTTTAGGAAGTGGTACAAGGGTGGGAGACCAGCTTTTATCCTTGGAGACCACTTTTCTCCCCACCAGCCGATTTTCTGGTCGGGAAACTGGTTTTATTGGTCTTTGGGCCACATTTTCTAGTTTTTCACCCCACCATTGGCTTGCTTTCAGTGTGGAGACCACCAATTCCCATAGCCAACCACTTTTTTTCTGGGAGACCACTTTGGGTGGTCGGCCGACCACTAAAAGTAGCAGGCCGACCACCTTTTCTGGTCGGCAGCTTTCCCCCTGTTTTGGCAAACTGTGTGGATGCCAGCTGTGCCAGCTGGAGGGCATAGACTGTATCCTCCATACACGTGTATGGAGGGATTGCATCCAAGTTTTAGCTTCTCCAAGAAGCTTTAACTTGTGTTTTTCTATAAGAGAGAGGGCTCTCTCCATGGGAGAGGTTCTGAATTTTGGCCTAAGGCACAAGTGTGTATCTCCCTCTATATCTCTATATTTGGTGCCTTAAAGAGTGTTATTCCTTCACTTTTGCACTACAACTCCTAGCCACACACCACCACATTTGAGCTGAGATCATTGGAGGTGGTTTTTGGGTCATAAGAGTTGGCTTTGGACTGGAGGAATTGCTGTTGTTGCAGTGCTTCAAGGGTAACCTTCTTTTTCCCCTTTTTAGCTCTATTTGGATCAGTCTCTTAGCCATATTTGCATGCTTCTCTTGGCTTAACTTTAAACTACAAAAAGCTTCATTTTTGAGTACTTAACATGTTTATTTGAGGCTCCTTAGGTGTTGGGAGTGTTCTACCCCCTTTTGTGCCTTGTTTGGCCTTGTTTTGGGCCTTGCCTTAGGGCCTTGCTTGGCCTTCTAGCCACTGAAATCCAGTGGATTTGCAGTGGTAGGCATGTGGTTTTGAGGCCTAAAACCAGAGGGGGGTGACCCCCTCTCTTTTGGTTTTGTTTGCTTGCATTTTTGGCCTATCAAAGGAGCATGTATCCCTTTACTTTTGAGGCTTGGTTCAGGCGCTTTATTGTGACTTTTAGGACCTGCCTTAAGTCTGTCCATGGCTGGTTTGGTCACCTTGTGCATGCATCTAGTATATGTAGTGTAATCCCATTTGTGGTCCATCAAAGTATCATGTCTTGCTAGCATGTATTGACTCCATTTCAGTGGATTTTTTACCATCATTTGGCATGTCATAACTCTGTCTAAAGCTGTTTTGGTTGTCTCTTGAGTGGCGCATATACTTGTAGAACAAATCTTGTTGACTAGCTTTGTTTGCATGATGTTTTGGCTCACCATTCTAACATATTTTGGCCATGCTCCAACATGATTTTGTTCATATTTTGGGCTGTCTTAGCTCTGTTTTGAAGCCCCTTGGTTAAATGATGCTTGCCATGCATGCTTGTAGTGTAATATGCTTCACTAGCTTTTGATGCTTGAGCCTTTCAACATGCCTTACATGAGTTGTTTTGCATGATTCTAAGTCATCTTGCATTCCATTTCAGTGCTGGATCATATGCCATTGTACTCCATGTTGCATCCTTTCAATGCTTTTGGAAAGTTGTGTTTTGTGCCTTAGGCTTGGGCCCTTGCATTTACATGCTTGTATGTGTTTTGTTGCCTTGATTTCATCACCATTGGCCATTGATTTGGACATGGTCGAGGCCTATCCATCTTGGTTTAAGTCCATTGTGTATTGAGCATGCCATGTGGTTCATAACATTGAGTATGCCATGTTACATGATTGATCATTACACTTGTGCATGCCATTTTCATCGCATTATGTATATTAGTCACCATGTGCATTGTGTATGCAAGCGTCATGAGCATTGTGTATGCCATGTAATTCATAGCATTGTGTATGCTAGTTGCATGTTTGCATGTCCATCCCTTGCATGTTTGCATGTCTAAGTTGTATCGTATTAGGTTGCATACTTGAGGTCGCATAGTGCATGCCATGTTTGTTGCATTGTGTTTGGAATAGGCGTTAGTCCAAACACGGGAAACGAGGCACGTTTCATACTCAAAGTGATGAAACGTACCTCGATTCCCAGTCGCCGACACTCTTTGACTATACATGACGGAGTTCTAGGCTTTAGGTGTTTGTATGTGCATTCATTCCATATCGAGTTGCGCAATTCGGTCTCTCGGCCATCATGCATCGAGATGTGTGATTGGTGGCCCGAGGGTCGAGACCTACACTCCCTTGAGCTTATGTAATGATAAGGTGAGTGGTCGCGCATACATGTGTTGCAAATACATTGCCACACCCCTTTCTTGCCCTCTGTTGCAGAAAACCAGAAACCAGCAGCAAAAACTGGTCCGCCGACCAGATAAAGTGGCTGGCCGACCACTTTTTCTGGTTTTCACCACAAAAACTAGTCGGCCGGTGGTCTCCAAGGCCAATATCTGGTCGGCAGCATCCCTATAGATTCCCAAGGTGGATTTTCCTCTCTCTGGAGCTTGGTGCAAGTTTCTGAGATCAATTGCAAACAGAGGCAAGTCGGGGCATCGCGAGGGATTTCCGAACAAGGCGACTCGACCACGCATGGATCCTTTGTCATCCAAAGCAGAGCTGAGGCAGCCTACATCATATAGTTTATACGCTTATTTAATTGCTAAATTAGTTAATTTGTTAATTAGTTAGAGTTGTGTAATAATTAGTTGTAGCTTGTTATTCATTCTGTTGTGTAATAACTAGTTTAATTAGATTAGCTAGTCGGTTCTGTATTATTCATTCGGACCCTCCGTCGAGAGGGTACAACTGTTGTAAATAAGTGTGCGTGTGTGTGATGCATGTCTTCCAACCCTCATTTCTTTCTCCCTTTTATTTACCAGCTTACGATTGTTAGTTTTAGGGCATGTTTCAATTAGCATCCTTACGCTCGCATGTTTACATCCATTCATCTGTCTTGCATGCACCGGGCTCGGCGCATCATACTAACTGCATTGTATTTCAATTTCTGTTTGAATACATGTATCAAATTGTATTTCACATGACATTTTAGAATAGTCAAGCCTATCTTAGTTGCATTTTGTATGTGTTGCATTAGGCATTTTTGACATAGCTAGAATCATGCATTGATTTCTAAAATAGCTTTTGTTTTGGCTCGGAGTACTCGGTAAATGTTTATGCTTTAGCATCCTTGCATATGTGTGAGTGACTGCCATGATAGCATGCTTGCCATGAGGCTAACTGCTTATGTGATATAACTGCCTGAATGCCTGTGGGTGAAGGTTGGATTTCTTAAATTGGAACAATTCATTGATTGCGAGTTTTAAGCCCACTTGAGAGTGGCAAATCACCATGTTTTCTAAAGCCCACTTGAGGGTGGCAAAATCCACATTTTAGCCTACTTGCGAGTAGCAAACCGTTTTCAAAAAAACAAACACGAGATGTTTTGTTCCAACTTAGGCGATCCAGTCTATACTTGTATGTTGTGCGCATCACACAGTAATTCTAGGTTAATAACCGTAATAAGAGCACATGTGCTTTCAAAAATAAAGTATCATGTTAGTAAAGGCCGATATTTGATCGGGCGAGCGGGGGTGCTCATTGTATAACCTTCCCCTCTCGTACCCAAGTTCCTGAGCTGAGGCAACTTTGGTGATGACGGACACGTGGTCTTAGGCACGAGTCAGGGTTTTCTAAATTTTTCAAAAATAATATATTTAGATGGCGACTCTGTATCTGACAAAGCAGTCCATGTTTGGCACTTCTTTCTAAAAATCAGTTTTTCAAAACGATTTGCCAGATTTGGACTCTTTGGTGATTTATCAATCTCGCATTGCACTTTGCGAGATTAGATTCAGAACCGTGACATTTGAATCCTAACTGTAGTGAGCCCAAATGAACAAAACGGGATTTTCCCAGGACGTTTGAGCATGTCTACAGGTGTTTACTCACCCCATCAGCTTGCCGAGGAACGTTTAGTATACTAGTGCAACCCAGGCCGCAGCTCGAGCTGCAGCTTTAACATCAGTTGCTTCAACTAATGTGTCCAGCTCATCAAGGCAGTTACAAATCAGTTAGGAATAGTCGTTAAAACTTGTGTTAGTCTGTGTGTCAGGTGTAGGTATAGCTGATCTGTAACAACTATATATATGTGTAATAGTGATACATTTCTTAGATTTTCTTTAAATACATAGAGCAAAAGCTGCATACACGCCTTCAAAAACAAATGGAATGTTTGGAAAAAGGAGGTTATTTTTAGTTTTAGAAGCCAAGTTTTGCATCAATTGTACAATTTGTTTACGGCAATTGAACTCTAGGTTGACAAATACAACTTTCAAATATGTAAATGATTTACTTGATCACAATATAGTAAAATTAGTGTACATTTATATTAAGCTGAAAGAATTGAAGGCAAGTATGAGCACATCACTTACCATTCCAAGAACATTGCCCACTATAATTGAACCAATGGGATCATAAATTGCATTTCCTGTGGTATTCACAGCAACCAATGATGCAGCAGCAATAAGCAGACCTGTTACTGCAGCACCATCCTGCATATTTGACAGCATTTTAAGGGACAGATAACACAGACAGAAGCAGCAGTACCATGATTTGACAAGATTAGAGAAAATAGAATTACTTCAATGTAAAAATTGCAGCAATCTGAATAACATGATTTCAATTTGGCTACATCTTTGTTTATTTTGTTACCACATGCCCTTGCATTGCAATGTTGCACAATGTGTCTATATTAACAATCTTAACTCCAGTTCCTTATTTCCATACGATGTATATGCTACATGTACCAGTTTCTTTAGCTAACATTATTAGACGTCACTCCAAAATGTCTCTTTTCTTCCAGTAATGAAAGATGAACAGACTACCTCTGTCATGACTGCAACAGCTGTGGGATCATGACCGCGCCAGACATAGTCTCTCACTGTCATACCCTCTGCAGCTGCACCTTTCCTGACAGCATGTATGGCCACAACAAGAGAAGCACCTAAAGAAAGGCCAGAGTTACTTATGAGAAGAAAAGCTGGTCTGTCCAAAGGAATATTTGGACACACCAGCAATCTAAAACTGTTGTGCCATTATTTATACCTTCAATCAAAAATGAGCCACCAATAACCAAAGCTGCATATTGAATATTTGCAGGGGGCTGCATAAAACAGGAACATAGATCAACAAACCTCAGTTTCATGTAACACAGGAGCATCTAAATTTCAGGAATGAAAAAAAATGGACAAGATTTGTCAAGAAACGATTCAATTGGTTGATTACCTGAGAAGTCCACAAGTTCTGAATGCCATGAACAATTGTAGCACCAGAACCAAGACAAAAGATACCAACAGCAGATATTAAGGACCATACAAATCTTTCTTTGGAATAACCATAACTGTGAACATAAAAGAATAGGATTCAGCACATCCATAAAACCAGAGGCATCTAATGAATATATGTCCAAGCGTATTTCCATAACATTCAATATATATAAAACACACGGCCTGTAGATGATATAGTGGTCCTCCAAGTTGCATTACAAAAAGCCACCCATTTGTCAAAAATGTGATATATCTGCTCATGATGATTTTTTTATAAATATATGTTCGTAATGAAATTGTTCAAAAATTTTCTACTCTGAATCACAACTCCAATTTAACTTATCCATTGAACTCAAATTTCAAAATGAGAGATAACAAAGCTCAGATCAAGTTTCAATAAATAGAAACTGAAAGAAGAAATGTGAAAGCATGTAGATTCATTTTTGATATCCAGGATCAATTGGATAGATGTAAAAAATGCTATAGACTGGAATCAGTCATTGAATGCTGAATTTTTCAAGTTGTGCATATGAAACAATAGACAAAAATGTGTTACAATATACAACACTCACGGGTGGATAGCATCCGGGGCACGTCTCGAACTACTTAAACCGTAAGCAAGAAGTGCCTATAACGTCAACATGAATTAGATACTCTGCACCCATTTTAATCCATAGATAGAATAAAGCAAAAATAGAAATGTTCATTCCAGCAGGAACATGAGAAATGAGTTCAATAGTAGCGTGTACCTGGTTTGCAAAATCTGCAGCTGAATGAACAACTTCTGCCAGCATGACATGGCTTGAAGTGGATAACCAGACCCCAAACTTCAGAGAAAAGACAAGAAAGTTGCACCATAATGCTGTTGTTACTGCTCGCTGGCTAGCATAAAAAATTTTGATGCACAAAGAAAAGAAATCTAATTTTTCAGATGGTGGAAACAAGATGCTAAATTTTCCACTAATATTTAATCAATTTTTTACGGGATAGTTCTTGAAAATGTTGAATAAAATCACAAACTAATCTTGCTAAAGATAACATGTCATACTTAAAAATTGTGAGTTTCTATTTTTAAACTAGTACTCAACTTAATTGACAGTAAATTTATGAATGTTGAATAAGCACACTCTGCCTTCGCAATTAGTAGAAGGGTCTTTCAGTTATTTCCTACATTAAAATAATAATAATTGTATAAATGTGTGTGCAACATATTTGTATACAAACCAAACCAAAGCGTTTGATCCAATCAATTGGGGTTGGCTACATGAATCTTTTCCTTATTTTACTGTGCCATGAAATATATGTTCAATTAAATTAAATTAACTCATCATATTTTACTAAAAGAACCCATGCCAATTTAAGTCTTCCCCGGATGTGGAACATGGATGCAACAATTTTGACATTTTGACTTTATAATTGTAATTTTATGTCTTTAATTTTTATGTTATTTACTTTTACTTATAGTTTAATTAGGACTTTCAACAATATTTTCAGTTCTTATTTTATTTGGGATTAAGTTTTCAAATAATAATAAGATTTAGTTTCCTATTTTGAATAAGGGTTTTTAACCTATAATTATTAGGTTTTTGCATTATTCAGCTTTGGAATAAAATGGAGTATTAAAGGTTGTTGCCATTTGTGCTAGCATGGTGACCCTTGTTCTTCTTCTCTCCCCCCTCCCCTTTTCTCTTGCCCTACAACATTCTACATCATTTTGGTGTCAAAGCAAACTTTGATCATCTCTTATTGTGTTTGTCGTTGGAGTAGAAAGCATATCGTGCATGCAACCACACAACATAATAACACTGGCATAGGTTGCACACAACAACCCCATAACGCAAGTGTTCAAAGTCTCTCACTACCACCCGCCATCTTACAAGAGGTCCACAGTCAACCACCTCTAATACCTAATACATACACTTTTCATTTCAGATGCATCCATATTAACATTCTCATCTTAACTATACTCATTCTATTAATATTATGCCTTAGCTGCCCAACATCTTGTCCCATAAAATATTGCTAAACATACAACTGCTCTATATAAAAAATAAAAAAATAAATAAAAAAATCTTCAATTTCGTTGGTATCTATCGATCCTTAGTAGCAGGAACCGTTCAACTTGCTCACGATTCTTCCTTAGAAGCACGATTCTACGCTTCTGACTCAGATTCGTAGAAGAATCACGAGTTTGATGCGAAAGAAATGCAAATCTGTCTTCTTCTCTTTCTCTCGATCTGTTTGTCCCCCTTCTCTCGATCGACTCTCCTCCTCTCTCAATCGACTCTTCTCCTTCTCTCGCTTCTCGCTTCTCTCTTTCTCTCTCTCTCTCTCTCTCTCACTCTCATTTGTCTGCATCTCTCTTCTCTTTCTTTTTTTATTTCTTTTGATTATAATATAAATACTAAATAAAGAAGATGGGGAAGAAGTCAATAAGTCAATATTAATGGTTACTTTTTGTGTAGTGCTTATATTATAATAATGATATGGGCTGATGCAATGGTTGTTTTTCCTGTGATGTATAATGGTTGAAACTATAATTTTTTCTATATTTATAATTATTCTAATACATTTTTTTAATTTCTCTATTTATTTATTTTACCTTTATAAATATAAGGCTTTGTTTGTCATCCTCTAAAAAAGCTAAAACGTCAAAAAGTCAATATCCTATTTAAGTTACATCATCTTATTTAAGTCACATCACCTCTTTATCATATCACTTCAAACCCAACCCATACCCAAACCATATTTCACAAAAAGTCAAAAAGTGCACTTATTTAGAACATCTCAAACAACCCCTAAATGTAATAAAAAGTATAATTATTGTTGTGATGTAGATGTTTTGCAAAATCTTGATTTGTTATTGAAATGTTTATTGTGGACACTTATTTGTATAATTTATATATATATATATATATATTGAATTAATGTTAATTTTTGTATCTACAAAATAAATAGATTTTAATTCTTAGTAAAATCTAACAACACAAAATAAAATACAATTTATGATAGTTATAATATATTTCAAATATTAATTGGAGAAAAAAAATTTATATCTCACAACATATTTATATATATTATTTAAAATATATATATTATATATAATATATATAAACACTCCCAACCTACAACTCTCTTAGGGGTCACGATTCCACGCTCCCGCTCCCGCTCCCGCTTCGTGCAACTACGTATCGATCCCGTAATATACCAGAAGAGTCGCTCCACTTGAGTCAACCTAATTTGATTCTCTAGGTCACATCATCTCCAAGCTCTCCCTCTTTATGTAATAATTGATACTGTACCACAAAATTATTCACTATTCGATATATCCGTGTTTGGATATTCAATTCTCGAATATTGCAACTTTATTGTTACCAAACTTACAATTCATATATTCAATTGTAGTCCAACCCATGGTTGTTAGAATTTTGTGATTCATGATTCGATTCATGCTGTTGAATCTTAAATTGAGTGAATCATACGATTCAATTGTGATTCACGATTCATTACAAATCACTGCAATAAAATACCTATTTGCATAATGCATGAAACGGCATCATTTCTGCAAAATAATAAAATAAAAAGAGATCAATTAATTATATTGATACACGCGATTATATATATATATATATACATATTTACAATTTAGTTATGCTATGTTTACATTTTCATATGTATATATATACTATGTTACATGAACTTAGGTACGAGTATTTAATGTGGGTTCATGCCCAAGCATCAAAATTTCATAAATCTAAATGTTCGGATATTGAGATATGTATCTAAAAGTTGGATATGGGTACGGGGCTACATCACATACACATATTATATATTGTATAATATTGTTAGATAAGATCAATGTTATTAAAGGTGATAGGCACATGAAACACCAAGGTTTCCTAGGCCCAGACGCAAGGCAAGGTGCCAACTTCATCAAAGCGAGGCTCATGTTAACGATAAAAAATAGATAATTTAATATAAGCAAATAATTCAAGATTCAACATAAATAAAATGAAATATTAAATATTTTAAAACATAAATACCAACAAACATCAATATTTTATCATAGACAAATAATTCAAGGTTCACATAAACACATACATCTAACTCATAAATCATAAACATTTGAAATAGTGATGAAATCGATGTGTCAAACAAAATAAGCATAGAGAAGAACTAGGAGGAGATTACGGAGATGAAGAAGCATAATGACAACTGTTAGTATGGTCAAAAAGAGTTCTATCCAATCAAAGTCTTTGTATGTAACCCAGAAAAACAATGATGTTAACTGAAATCAAGGGTTGTCATTGTAATAAACAAACATTTTTTAAAAAAAAAGCGCTTCATGCGCCTTTATGGGGCTTGTTTTACATCGCCTAGCATGAGATGTTCCAAATCGCACTAACTATGCCTTGATGAACCTTGGACCTAGGCGAGCCTTTAATAACACTAATTTTTATAAATTATGTAAAAATGCATTTGAATTTAAACAAAAATTACGAAAAATATGAAATTTCACTCTCAACAATATGAAAGACTAGAAATGTTTCTTTGCTAGAAAATGTATATTTTTTCTTCATCAAACATCATAAAAATTGACGATCCACGTGTCTAAATTGAATATACGAGTGTCAGACACATATCCACGCCCTTAGTGAACACAAATACTTTCGAGGAATAGAAGAATCCATGAAACACACACATCATGCATAAAATCACATATGATTCAAGATTTTACTATTTTAGCAAAACAATAAACAATTCCATTCACTATTCGGAAATGGTCATACTTATTTTAAATCTTTTGACTCGACTCCAATTCCTTATAAATTTCTAATTTAGGGCTGGTTTGACAACCTTAGAAAAAGTCAAAAAATTACTCAAAAAGTTAAAAAGTTATCACTATTCACCAAAATAAAATATTAAAAAATTAATATACAAATATTAATACATATAAAGTAGATGGCCCAAGATTGGTACTGACGTGATGAACTAGTCAGTGACAGAGACAACAAAAATTATTATGTGTATATTCAAGAGTTTGGATGGTGAAGTTGGGCCCGTGGGGCACCATCATGGGTCCTGTTTTGATAATCTGAACCGTTCAATATGTAGAACTCGTCTAGTACTATATGCCTGTAAAAAATCACGTCTATTGGATGTATAAAAATAGATGGTGTTATAGTTAACAATTAACAAAAAAAAAAACTAACACGATCAGATAGCTATCGATATCCAATCAACGTGATTTTTTATTTGCATATAGTATTCGACAAGTTCTACACATTGAACGGTTCCGATTAGAAAAACGGGACCCGTAATGGGCCCCCATGGGCCAAACAACACCATCCAATCAAAAGCCTGAGAAGGGAGACAATATTTTCTCATCTACTCACCCGGCAGACTCCACTGTCAATCCGTATGGCCTCCTACCCTATCTTCTCCTACACACTTATTTATACAATTTTTTAATACACATTTTTTCATAAAAAGTCAAAAAGTTAACCCAAACATCCATATTTTTTTCCTCAACTTTCTAGTCCAAAAAGACAAAAAGTACACTTATTTAAGACACCCCAAACAAACCCTTAGTATTAATTCCTCATTTAATTGCATCCATGGTTTTGAAATTTCAGTATTGACCGGTGCGTCGTCATGTGTAATAGATATCAAGAGTATTGAACAATGTGTAATGGGTGTCAAAAACCGAACTCGTGAATTTTTAGTCAATGCCAAAAAAATAATAGATAAACATATTCTTATCTTATTGAATGCTTGTAATGATTTTAAATCAACACTATAGCACCTAAAAGAATGATTTGTAAAGTAATATTGAATTTCATGTTTCTTTTAGGGTTCGTTTGATTAGAAAGAAATAAATGATGGGAAATGAAAATAGTAGAAATTGAAGTGAAAGAAAAGAAAAGGAAAAAAACATATATTTTCTTTTACAAATTTGATTAAGATGAAAATTTTGCAAAAAAAAATAGGAATTCAAATTATGGGTAACTACTTTTATAACAAATTTAAACTTTCTTGTGTTTTCCGGTGTTTTCTTGCAAGAAACTAGGAGTTTAGTTATCATACTATCTTGAGTTGTACAAGAAAATTAACTTTCTTGTAACTTCCACCACTTTCATGCTAAACAAACTCGAGACAATTTATTTTTTTCCATTTCTCTAACTTTCTATCATTTTCATCCTAACCAAACTTAGCTTTTAAGGAAAAATTGTGGAGAATTTCATCTCATAAGGAAATTTCAACAATCTCATATAACTAGAAATGCTACTACAATAGATAATTCATAACAACAAAGCAACACACAAACCATTTTTTTTTTTTTAAATCAAAGATGCAAATAATACAATTAAAATAGTGGCTAATTCTTATTGTAATATGGTTAACATATGGACATCCATCATTTTGTTACATCGAATGGAAACACTAACTAAAAACTCAATAACAATTACCAATTTTATAAGTAGGATGAAAATTAAACTTGAATCTTGAAGTTTGAAGACCTAAAACAGATCTAAGTATTTCAAACAATTGTAGAGTAAATAACTGAGAGAGTCAGAAAAATGATGTAAAATGTGATCTAGATCGAGTTTGTGTATGATAACTCAGTTAAAATAACAATCGTATCAACTGTATTGTTTAAAATAACAGTCATATCGATTTTGTATCAGGCTGTATTGGCCAATACAATTGTGATTTTTCTTTCCTGCAGATACAAACATGTGTATCTAAATCAAAGGTTCCAAATACTGTTAAGTAACAATCAATACATCACGATATCAAGGATATTTTAAATCATGGTTTCATTTCATCCATGAACACAATATCATCTACAAACAACATCCACCAGGGGATATCCTCAATGTATCTTGTCTATTCATCCACAATTATGACAGATAGGTAGGTAATCAAGGCTATCCCTTGGTATCCTATAGTGATTGATGATCCAAATGTTCAATTTTTTTTATCCTCGTAAGTTGATTTGGAATACAATTGTGTGAGTTAAAGTTGAGTTTTTCTATGAACCGTAACTAATGGGAGACTCAACTCCCAATGACAAGTTTCAGATGGAGAGACCTAACTAGGGGTGTGCAAAAACCCGCCTAACCACTCAAGCCAAACCAACCCACTCAGCCATCCACAATTTGAAATTGTTGGTAGGTTGGGTTGGGTGGATTCCACACTAACTTTCTATAGGTTCGTTTGCGTGTTTTAAAATCTTTAGCACGCCAAAATAACCAACCCAATGATGAATGCTTAAAAGTGTGTAATTATGATAATATTTATAAATGCTAATACACTTTTATTATATTAATTCCCTCAAGTTACATTACATTTGTCATTTAATAAATTAATTTTATTTTTTTTGTAGGAAAACCTTGTAATTGAAGGAATAATAAACGAAGAGTAAAAAGAATGAAGAGTTTTTCAACATGAAAGGCGGGTCCAAACATCTTAAAGGAATTAGATTGCAAGAATGGGTTTGGTAATCACATGATTGGTGGCCTGCTTCTTTGCCTTGTGCGCACCACGCGCGATGAATGTGATTGCACGGCGGTTCAACCTAGTTAATTTAGGTTTAGGTTTAGCTTTTTTATAAATACATGTTAAAACCATTGTGAGGGGATATCAATTCATTTAGCCGCTTTTTATACATAATTTTCTTTCTTTTATGGAGTTCTAATTTTCTTTACTAAGGTTAGGGGTGAAACCCTAATGAATTGTTTGTAAGTATTTTATGATTCAATCAAGGTTTTTATTTTTAGATTATATTGATTGATTGATTGATTTAAATATTTTGGGAAAAGTTTTATATAATTGTTTGTTCTATCATAACAACAAAAAAAAAGATAAAAAATAATCAGAGTTTGGCCCTTGAAACAAAATAAACCATGAGTTTTTAATTTTGTCAATTTAAACCGTTATCTTTTGATTTATTTTCAATCTAAACTATTTGCCTATTTTTGTCGAGTAAAACTGACAAAAAAAATGATATTTTAGAATTGTACGTACACCTACAATGAGTTTAATAACTAAAATACCATTTTTCGTCAGTTTACTTAACCAAAATAGACAATGGTTTAGATTGAAAACAAATCAAAAGATTATGATTTAAATGAACAAAATTAAAAACTCAGGATTTATTTTGTTACAAACCCTAAAATCCTGGGGGTTTTTTTGTAATTTTCTCTATTATTTTTATGAAAAATAATTGTTTTATCTCTCGATTGGAAACACCCTTTATGTAGTTTTCAATTGAGTTATACAAATTGAATCTCAAATGTTTTACAAAGAAAACATTGGTAGTGAATCCTTGATATGTCTTAGTATCTTCACATTATTGTTACTTCAAATTATTTTTAGTTAATTATTTTGTCAAATCATTCAAAAAAAATTCAATTAACTTTATTTTATTTTATTTTCGATCATTCAGTAATTTATTGAAATATACTGATTCTTGTGGATTCACCCTTGAACTCACCGAGACTTTATTATTTCGCGACAACCTGCACTTGGATATACACATTCAAAGTTGTTGCACCCAACCACCAATACTTACATAAAAATTAAATACCTCAACTTTAAATAAATCTTCACAAAATTTGACTCTCAAACCTCATTGTGCATGCCTCTCTCATTGCCACTTCTTTCACGCAAACATATCATTAAAAATTTCATTTATTTTGATTTTTTAGCTCATAGCTATTTGGTGTTGTTTGGCAAGTTGGTTTGTGGCTAAAATAGCCACAAAAGACAAAATATACTATTTTAGTCACAACAAACAAAACATCACATCCAACTCATAATCATTACACTCTTCTCTCACAAAAAAGGCCAAAAAAGCCAAAAAGCCTTTTCCAAACTAACCTTTTTAGCCTAGGCTAAAATAACCAAAAAAATCAAAAAACCAAAAAATCAACCCACTTCCCAAACGGATTTATAATATATTTTGTATAATATGTTAAAAAAATCAAAAAACCAAAAAATCAACCCACTTCCCAAACGGATTTATAATATATTTTGTATAATATGTTCGAATTTACAAACCACCAACCCATTTAACTTGCCGGTTCAAAGCCGTCAAAATATTCAAACCAATCCACCCATGTTGGCAATGGGTTAAAAATTGCCACCCCGCCAAGGGCAATAGTCTCCCAAACCGCTCAAACTAACCCGCACACACCACTAGACATAAGCTTTGTTTACTTCCTTGGTGGTGTGCTATGTGCAAAAGGTATGAAGAGAATTGTAATAATTTGCTTTGCATTGTCCTTTAGCTTTGGCTGTATGGCAGATATTAACGTGATTAGGGTAGTTGAATTGGGTTCAATGAGATAGAATCTATGAGATAGAAAAGGAGGATTTTCTCTTAAAGGGAATATGGCTATGTCTCCCTAGATAACAAAACAATGAGAAAATGGACAATAATTAGTGTTGAAGACAAAACTAGTGTGCATTTCACCTTAGTAGCTACTACTAGCAACCAATTTGATTAGCAAAGAAGCTATGAGTTGCAGGGACACATGAGATGGGGAAGATTTTCTCTTATGAATGAAATTAATTAAAATATTTCAAACAATCGTCACCAATCAAGAACACACTCAACTCAAGTGCACCCACTTCTAACAGGAAGTCAAGCATTACACAGAACACATGCTTCCACCCACCTGAACCAGTATGCCAAAACCCCTGAGGCGCCTTGCACAAATCCCCTAAAGAATCATTTTTCAGGAAGAATACAATTATGCACACAGAGAGAATGATACGTGTTTGGTTATATATGAAAAACCCTGAGACGAGCAGCGAAGCCCTTAGCTTTTCACCGGAGATCATCCACACAACACCTTTATAATGATGCACAAATCAAACTTCTAAAATAATAAAACGAGTAGTAACTTAGTAAGTGCACAGAGACAAATTCTTCAAACTAAATTTCAGGGGTATGGAATTCATTCATATCCTACCCTTTATTGAAATCTCTGTTATTATTCAAAATATCCTACCCTGTTCCGGATATTGCATCGCTTTACTTAAAGAATTCCTAAGCCCAAGAGTTAACATAAACAAGTTCTTCATTCCCCAGTATAAAATTAAATTTTTTGTCAACCTAATAACAGCCTAAGGTTTACTTCAGAAAAGTAATATTAAGGGTTGGTTTGGGGTGTCCTAAAAAAGTGCACTTTTTGTCTTTTTATGAAAAAATGTGCAGAAAAGTAGAGAGGTGATGTGATGGAAAAAAGGATTAAAAGATAGATTATATAGTAGATGCCAAACCAAGCCTAAATTCATCATAACATCTAACTTGTAATAAACAAACATCATAACATCTAACTCGTAATAAACAAATAAAATTCAAAATCACATAGTACTAGAATGGTAAGGGAACACATTTTTACCTATGATCATGTTGAACTTCTAATTTCTTTATTTCTTTGGCTCTGGTGAAAAAACCTGCAAAACACAAGAAAATCAAACTAGAGTCGTACAAAGATATAAATAAATAAATAAAAATATATTATTTATAAAGCGTTACATAGTGAAAGAGCATACTTCGGCGGAAGCAGCAGTGGTGGTGATGGTTAGAATCGAATGAAATAAAGAACCCCCCTCGATCTCCTCCGTAACAAGCAAATGGAGAAATGAAGAACCCCCCTCGATATCGATCTCGGCCTCTGCCTCCTCCTCCTCCTCCTCCTCCTCGATGATCGACGAGTTTCTTTGTTTCAAAAATTTCAGAGAGAGTAATAGATCCAGTGCGAGAGAGGGTTGTGGCTGTGGATCGAGAAGAAGAGCCAAGAGCGGAGGAGGGGTAGTGGCGAAGGCCAGTGAGAAAGCGAGACGTTCGCATGAATGATACACCAATCCAAGAAGAAGGCCTGCTTATTATTATGATTATCTTCTTCGTCTTCTGCATACTACTACTACTACTACTACTACTCTTACTATCACTATCTATTAATATGCTTAAAGCTGCATTTCCATCCAAATCTATATGTCAAAGAAACGAATACTGGTTTGAGGTTTGGGTTTGGGTTTGGGTTTGAGATTTCAGGCTTGTTGGTGCGTTAGGGTTTTTAAGATCAAACATCAAACAGGGTATTCTAGTCAGTCGGTCACTGCTCGGTTCATCAACGTTGGTCAGCCTTGCTATCTTCTTTGAGATTACATTAGTTAAAACTTTTTAAAATCATTATAAATTATCACACTATTTTATTTATGGGCTGTTTAGCAAACGTTATTTTTTGGCTTTTTGAACTTAAATTTATAAAATGATAAAATATGTTAAAATAGTTAATAAGATAAAAAGTCATATTAAATTTATAATTATTTTATTTTTTCGCTCACAAATATCAAATATAATAATAAAAAAATTCAACTATCTTCTTAAACACAAATATTTTAACCTACTAAAAAAACCTAAAACTAAAATATCAACTTCCTAAACACTCGCTACATTTTCAAACGAGTTCTTGTGATCGTCTCATCCGTCTACTAGAGAAGAAAAAAAAGAAGAGTTATGCTAGGGATTCCAAATAAATTACTAAATTTTCTACCAAATATCTCACATGAGTGTGGGACCCACACAAATCACGTGTGTGGGTCCCACACCCATGTGAGACGTTTGGTAAAAAATTAATAATTTATTTGGGATCTATAGCATTTTCCAAAAATGAAAGTAAATTACATATACCCGTTTACTTAAAATATAAATTAGAATCGTTACAAAGTCAAAGTTAATGAGGGTATAAGACATTAGGGGTTATTTAAAATGATCTAAATAAGTATGTTGTTCAAATTTTTAAAAAATAATGTACAGAAAAATAAAGAAGTGATGTGACTCAAATAAATGCATTTATCTAAATAACAGCCCTGACTTATTAGGGGCCTAAGGCGAATTTTTTAAATTTGGCCTTCATATATCATTATCCAAAAAAAAAAATTGTTCGGATAAAACAAAAAAGATAAAAATTTATTTCTATTGCATTATAATTTAACAAAATTTAGATAACAAATATATATATATATATATATAATAGTTGAACTTCAATTAGTTGAATCGAATCTTTATTTTTTAGCTTACCAATGCTATAAGAACAAAAATTAATTGGGGGTAAGGATGAGAATTTCCGACATAACTCAAGCAATATATAAAATTAGCAAGTTAAGTGTAACAACCCACATTAATGTCCTAGTCATGTTTGCATGCATTTGTATGTTTTGCCATGTTAAGTTGCTATAACAACCCATATTCATGTCGTGGTCATGTTCATGTTCATTTACATAACTTTGTCTTGCTAAGTTTGCATTCATAAATCTTGTCTTGTTTGCTTAAGTGTTGTTTGCATGCTTTGTTCCTTCCCTGCTATGTCAAGCCTAGGTCATGTTAAGCCTAGATCATTCCAAGCCGAGGTCATCTTCAGTCTAGAATTATCTTGGAACCACTTTGTTTGACCTCCACCTTCGCCCTGACATATTGGCCGAGATGTCATTATCTAGGCCGAGATGTGTATTATCTAGGCCGAGATGTTACCTTTGCACCTAAGTGATCTTGTCCTGGAGTTGTATGACCTAAACCGAGGTGTGGCACATCTAGGCCAAGGTGTGGCACAGCTTAGTCAAGTGTTGTCCTTCCTAGCCGAGGTCATTGTCACCTTAGTTGCCGAAGCTTTGTCCTTAGCCGATGTCATCACTTGCCGGAGTGCCTTACCGAGTAGCTTGTTAGATACACTTTGTCTTACACACGTCTTGTCAATCTATCACCTTTTTGGGGAGAGCCAACCAGCTGTTGCCACGTGTCCGAGCTGAGTGTTAAGCCAGCTGGCAGAGGGAGAAACCTATCATTTGTTATATCCTTGTTTTGAAGAAGAGAGAGAAGCTCTAGAAGAGGGAGAGGAGTTCTTGAGGGAGAGTAGATTTCCAAGCTTGATTCCTAGAAATCGAACCGTTAGATCCGTGTTCTAAGGTTAGATTCTTGATCTACCCATGCTGTTCCTTATGTTTATGTTATTGCATTGCATGATTGAATATGATTTGTAAGCCATGCATTGCTTTGAAGTTCGGTTTTAGAAAGAGAAAATAGTATTCATGTGTTCTTCAAGAAAAGTCATGTTTTGATCCGAAAGTTTGTGCCAAGATCCATGTTTTTGTGTTTGTTTTCATATGATTTTCAAGTATGGGTACCCAGGTCCATGTTTTCGAACTCATAGCATGAAATCCCAGATTTTTGTAATAAAGAAGTTATGATTTTAGCATTTATATTCTTCATGGTCTTCATGTTTATGTTCTTCATGTTCTTCACGGATGGAAACCCAGATCTCCAGACCTCACTTCCCTAAGTGTAGTCACCGAGATCACTCTTACCTAGACCTCACACTTGGGCCAAGCATCGTATCTCACCTTGGCCTACCTTGCATGATCACTTACACCTTTAGTTTGTCTTGTGCGAACCTCAGCATGCAGCCGCACGCCGAAGCCTAGGTAATCACACCTCGGTCAGGAGGTGTGGGACCTCGGCAAAGACCTGGTTGGTACCCAGCATGTCTTCTTGACATGTAAAACAGTGTTTTGACTTCCAGCATGTTTTCCCGAGATCATTTGCATGCATGTAAGACTTGTTTTGAGAAGTGCATTCAATAGACTTTGCCATGTGTTTGTAGGACTTGGACCTTTGCCTTGATCCCGACGTCCCAAGAACTATGTGAGTGGTATTTCTAATAAAGCTATGTTATAACGTTTTGTTAAAGCTTCGCTTTGCTTGTTTTGAAAAGTATTTGTTAAGCATGAATGATTACCCCTATTTTATGTATCAAGTATTATCTTGTTTTGATGACATTCTTGGAAAGTCCTTAGTGTCAGGGGACTATAATGCAACTGCACATCTTGTTTTGAGAGTCCTTCCATGCTAGGGGACTTTAAGCCTAGGTAGCACCATCCTTTCGTACTAGGGGACGTTAAGCCTAAGTAGCACCCTTGTTAAGATATCGGCCACTGACGGACTATGAATGGGTGTGCTCGATGCCGAGGTTATGGTTTGTTTTGCCAGAATGTCATCGCCCCATGTATTATGTGGATGTTATTAAACATCCTAAGAAGATTTGAAAGGCCAAAATTTGATTAATGAACTTGATTCATCCCATGTTTTGAACAAGCTATGATATATGTATTGTTTTGACAAGGACCTCGGGAATCATTCATTTAAACCTTTATTATTTATACCATTCACTGAGTATCCAAGCTCATCCTTCCTATGTATATATGTAGGTGACAAGCAAGAAGTTGGCTACGCCGAGATGTGTATTTTGCAAGATGTTTTGGATGCATGTTATGTCGGCAATATTTATGTCAGCAATCTTGAAGATTATGCTTCTTAGTTGTATTTCATGTATTTTGAACATGTCGGCTTGAGAAGCCTTTTATCAAGATGTAATATGTATTTTTGTACTTCATTTTATTTGTATTCAAGTTGTAAAGCTATGTAAAGATGTATGCCATTTCATTTGATCTACGCACTGCTCTTATGGACCACTTGTATCTTGAATTATTTGCTTCCGCACTTGTGAGCTTCCTATATTTATACTCTGATTGTTTGTGAATTTTGGAAGTTGGCCTTCGGCAATCTCGGATTACTGGCCATCACGGCACCATCCTACTAGGGGCGGTTTGGGGTC